GAGACAAAAATAGAAATTGCTGGAAAAGCTCAGCAGGTGTGGAGAGAAATCAGAGTTAACGTTTCAGATCAAGTGACCCTTCCGTCTACAGATGCTGCCAGACCTGCTGAGCTTTTCCAGCAATTTCTATTTTTGCCTCTTAAAAAAACAATCTTTTTTGAATATATTAATTTCAAATCACCCTCATACCTGAGAGGTTGTCTGAGGATAAGGAGAGGGAGAAGATCCCAGGCTATATTAGGACAGAGTGGACTGCGCAAAACCTCTAAGAGCACTCAACATGTGGCTTGACCGGGAGTTAATACTATCATATGATCCCTGCCCAATCTGCTGCCTTCCATTACACAGACTCTTGACGTGATCTGATGTCTCTTAAAGATGGTAAATACTCTGAAAGCGCTTCACAACCACTTCTTTTTACAACACAGAATGGCGTGGGTTTGATATTTTACTTACCAACCAGTTAGCTGAGAATTCAGGGCAGGGACGGGAAGCAATTTGCCTGTCAAGTGTTTCTTCCTCAGATCCCTACACTTTGCAGATTATTCGTTAAGCTGTCGTCTCCATGAGTCTCAGTGTGAACAGCAGACCGTCCTTAGGGATAGCCGTTTCAGCAGCAAGACTGTTTTAAATTCCGTGTGCAACTACCCTCCCCCGTTACCCTCAGCCATGCTCCAGTCTCTTACTCCCTCCTGCTCTGCTCTGCACCTCATTGTTTGAAGGAGCTTATCCAGCTGTCTTCTCTCCCAAAATAACCCCTGCCATCATGACTTGACAAGACCAATAGGAGCCGGACTGGTGGTTGGCAGTGTGTGGATGGTTGAGACCATAGTGGGAGGGGGATGTAGGGAGCAAAGGAGGCCACCATCCATTGACTGGCCAGCCTGCCAAGAGCAAGTTGACTGGTTGGGGGAGTGAGGGGATGCAGACTAAGTGGGAGGATCAGTGACTGCAAATCCCGTCCAGGAATTCGAAGACCCTTATCTGTGCTGTGGCAGAGAGTCAGAATTAGCTGATGCCAGCGAGGTGGTATGTGTCTACATTTAAGTGACATTGCAGAAGGATCTGTGCTCTCTTAGACACGCAATGTCTGGGAGGGTGACGGGGTGGGAGTGGAAGGTAGAGGGGGATGGTGGGACAGCCGACAGAATTAGAAAGATTGAAACTGCCTTGTCATTTGATACGAAGCAGCTGAACAGAAGTGAGGAAGAATTGATTGGACTTGGCTCATACACTGCTCCTGCGAGTTCAATCAAGAAAGAGAGCAAGAAAGCAGTCTTTGCATTTATGTAGCACCTCTCACTATTTCGGAAAGTCTGAATGTGCTTTACAGTGAATTAAGTACTCCTGAAGTGCAGTCACTGTTGAGATGTAAGGAATATTGTGACCAGTTTGGACAGAGCAATATTGTAATGGACAGAGCATTTGTGCAGCTTTTTTGGAATTTGATGGATAGCTAATGGCTAAGACACTGGGGACAACTACCCTGCTTTTCTTTAGAGTAGCGCCACCTGCAAGAGCAAGCCTCATGTGAAAGCTGGCATTGCAGCACTCTGTCTGTACTGTGCTAGAAATGTTACAAGCAGGCATACAGCATAGGAGCAGGAATAGGTCATTCCACACCTTGAGCCTGCTTATCATTCAATAAGATCATGGCTGAACTGTTTGTTTCAAATTCCTCCTTCCCATCCACCCCTTTGATTCCACTGCCTAACACAAAGCTACCCATCTCGGTCTTAAAAATATTAATTGACCCCAAGTTCCAAAGTCACACAACCCTCCAAGAAAGGACATTGTCCTTGACTCTGAGCTAAAAAGGTGACTCCTAATTTTAAAATAGAGCCCCCTAGTTCTGGACTGGCCAGCAAGAGAAAACATCTTTTCCATGTCCACCTGGTAACGACCATTTAGGATCCGATACACTTCAATCAAGTCACCCCTAATTCTTCTGAACTCCAGTGGAAATAAACCTAGCCTGTGCAGCTTTTTCTCATAAGACAACGTGCACATTCTGGGTATCAGACTGGTAACCGCCTCTGACCCTCCAATGCCACAGCTTGGATTTATGTGCCACAGGCATTTAGCACTGTGTTGATTGTGGAATGTTGCTGTGCAGAAATTGGACTAGCATGTTTCCTGCAACAGTGGTTGCATATCATTGGCCAGAAGGAGTTTTCGGATGCTGTGAGGCTATGTTAATGTGCTATACAAATACAAAGCTTCTTCTCCTTCCTCCACATCTGACACACCTTACCCAAGTCTCACTGCTGTTCTGCACTGTGGATGGTTTGTATCTCCAACCCTCGTCCCATTAAACACTGGCAGCGAGCTACCTCTCAGAGAGAGTCTCTATTAAGATGAAATGTTCCCTCTGCATGTGGTGCAATCCGAGTGACAGTAACGAATGATTGGAGAATGACATTGAGTCCAATTCTCTCTATATATAAAGACATTTATCAGCAAAGTGCTGATCCCTCGCATGACGTTAGTTCCCTGGAAATGTCGATTGGCATTCTGTGACATTGCTCACTTACTAAAGATTTCTTTAATGTTGCAGCCTCGATATCCAATTGGGCAACAGCAGTTTCTTTGGGGGAGAACTCAGCCTCTGCAGGGACCAAAATGCGTGCTACATATAGGTTCACACTGCAGTAAGAGATGAACCACATTTCATGCTGGTTAAAAAGCCCAATCGAACAGGGAGGACGTAAGAAATAGCAGCAGAAGTAGATCACTCAGCCCCTCAAGCCTCTTTCCCCATTCAACAAGATCACAGCTGATCTGCCCCTGGCCTCAACTCCTCTTTTGTGCCAGCTCCTCATAGCCGTCACCTCCCTGATGTTTCAAAAATCAGTCTACCTCCTCATCAAATACTTTACTCGATCAATTCTCCACTGTTCTTTGGGATAGAGAATTTCAGGCATTCACTAGCCTCTGGGAGATAACACAAGGCCATATTTTAAATGCAGCTTGACGTGCAAGGACTTGCCTTATCCTCACGTATATTTTTATCCTTTCATGGGGTGTGGAAGTCACTGGCAAGATCAGCATCAGTTGCCATTCCCTTGTTTGGTCATTTCAGAAGTCAGTTAAAGCCAACTTGTCACCATAGGATCAGGAGTCACAAGTAGGCCGGAGGGTTCCTTGCCTAAAGGGCATTAGTGAACCAGTTAGGTTTTTACAGCAATGATAGCTTTGTAGACAACATTACTGAGAGTATATTTCAATTCAAGCTTAATTTGAATTGGATTTACTAGTTGAGTGTGGGATTTGAACCCATTCATCCCAAAGTATTTGACCAGGCTTTTGATTATCACTGAAACATCGCTCCACAATCAAGAGTGACAAAGCTCCCAATTTTAAAAAGCAGGAGAGCTTTCCTTGGTGTCCTGGCCAATATTTATCCCTCAATCAACATTGCGACCCAAACTTTCCCACATTACAAGAGTGACTACTCACAAGTACTGCCAGCAGCCGCAAAGCACCTTGGGATTTACTGAGGTCATGAAAGGCACTGTAGAAATGCAGGTAGTTGTATCAATGTGGGATAAATCTCACTACACTGCAATCTCCCCATTGTATACTGATAAAAGGTGAGGGGATTGGAGGGAATGGTCAGACTCTGACAGGCTTCAGATCCATGGCTAAAAAAGACATCACAGCTTCCCATCCCTGCTGAGAACTCCTTTGGAGGTGTTTTCGCATCAGTGAAGATTTGGTTTGACCTCTCCCTGTCCCTGAGATCAGTCTTTCTTTGAATTTCAGCCATTGGAATGGCTGCTGTTTGAGGCCAAATTATGATTTTCTACAGCTAGAGCTTTGTGCTTCTGTGAGAAGATAACTCTGAATTCAAATCAGGAGACTCACGTCATTCAGCTAACAACAGTCTTGGAGGCCGTGCCCAATGTCACCAGACTATCAGAGTTCTGATAGTGGCAACTCTGCGCATTCACACTGAAGAGCTCAGTGGGGAGAGAGAGAGAGAGACAAAGAGCAGCAGGGTCAGGGGGCAGGTCACCGATCAGCACAATCAGGGTGAATGACAAGTCTTTCAGCTCAACCTGCCCTCCAAGCAAGCATTTGAGGGTGTGTCTGCTGGGATTGTAGGAGTTTTGAAGATCACACTAAAAGGACATTAGTATCATTCTCTCCTTGTCGAGCTGAGTCTGTCCTCGGCTCTGTCTGTAATGTTGTATTCTCTTTGTAACTAACCCCATTGTGTTAACTTTGTTCCTCTGAGTGCCTGTTGCTTGTATTGCATTTTCTTCTGTGCCTTTGCGCCTCTTTCGCTTTTTGCCAGTTTCAATCTTTCAATCTTATCCTCTGTCTAAGTCTCTCCGTCTCTCTCACTCACATTCTCCTCTTGGATCAGTATCTTGTTTTGTCTCATATTCTGTATTGCTGGCTCTTTCTCTCTGTCTGTCCACTGTGTTTGTGTCCGTCTCTGCCTCTGTCTCTGTTTGTGGGTGTATCTGTGTGCATGTATCTGTGGGTGACTGTGTCTGTGTATGTGTATATCTGTCTGTGTGCATTTATCTGTGCATGTGTGTCTCTGTTTTCCTGTGTGTGGTGTGAGTCTGTGTCAGTGTGCATTTGTCTCCCTCCCCAGTTATTCTGACTCAATTCCACTCTAGCTGTCTGACATTCTATCTGTCTCTCAAACTCTTTGATTTTATTCTTTCTGTCTTCCTGCATTCCTGTTTTTACTCTATCTGTATTTCTATCTCTGTCATTGGATCCCATTCTCTCATTTTCCCCCATCATTCTGTATCTGAATCACTAAATTCCTGCATTGTCTTAGAACCTCCCTCTTAATCTCTTTCAAGTTAGTTATCTTGTTTAGTGTGTATCTTCTACTCTGTGTACATATCTTCATCATTCTCTCCCTCACTCTGTCCCCCTCTGTCCCAATGTTCGGGCTTCACGCTTCCCATAAACTCCCTGGTGTCCCTTTATTCCTGAGCTTGTTGTGGATGGTGCTACTGATTCTGGTGTTCCAGGCCCCAATGCTGGAAACTGCCTGCTCAATGCACAGCCTGAGTGAGGATGCAATCATTGCAAAGGTGCAGGAGAAGATTCTGAAGAGCCTGGGGCTGACTGAACCCCCAGAGAACTGCAATGTAACCAGCCAGGAGCTGCGTAATCCGTTCAAAAGCCGCAGACTGACACGGCGCATCACCCGCTGGATTGGACATTACAAACCCAAAAAGGACAACGATAAATCGGAGGTCATCTCATTCCCCATAACCAGTAAGCTTTCTTTTGGCTTTTGTAAAACAAAAACGTAAAAATTGTGTAATTTTGTATGTTAGGAAGATAAATCCTGGCAGCACTGTTTCACAATGTCAGGCAGACCTAAGGTACTTTTCAACCAATTAAGTACTTTTTGAAGTATTGTAATGCGTGCAGTGCAACATCCGATTTCCACAGGAAGCTCCCACAGACAGCAGTGTAATGATGACCTGATAGCCAATTTGTAGTGATCATAATAGAATGGAGGCAGTGATATAACGTAATGTCACCAGACTAGTAAACCAGAACCCCAATCTAAAGGGTTCAAATCCCATAGCAGATGGTGAAATATGAATTCAGTTGAGGGAAGATAGCCTAATGAAAACTATGCACCGTTTAAAAATCCATCCAGTCAACCGATTCCCTTTAGTGAAGGAAATCTGCTGTCCTTACTCCGTCTGGTCTATATCTGACTCCACATCCACAGCAATGTGATTGATTCTCATCTGCCCTCTGGGCAACAATTGCCAGGTGATGTCCATTTCTGTTTAAGTACACATTTTCCCAGAAGACTGGTGTGAACTGCTCCCCGCTCTTCTTGGAAACAGATGCTGTGAAATCCTTTATGGCCTCCACTTAGAAAGTGGATAAGCTTGACATCTCATCTGAAAGAAAGTGCCTCCAAACAGTGTGGCGCTCCCTCAGTGCTCCAGTGCCAGACTAGGTTCTCAGTCTCTGAAGGGGATCTTAAGACCACCACTGCTGGAGTGAGAAGTGAGTGGGTTACCCACTGACCTGGGAGCCCATACACACACAAGTAGCATGAGATGTGGTTAAGATAATTGGAGTAAGCAGGTGGCACAAAATTTGGGTGGGTGGTTGGGTGGTTTGTTTTGAAGACATAATCAAATGAGAACGGTAACTGTTAAACAATGTTTGATATTCGCAATAAACAAACATGGAAGCAAAACAAGTGAATGCAAATCATTCGGTTTTACGCAAGTTTTGGCTATTTTATAACTCATTCCCCTCAATCTTCCCTTCCCCCCATACTTTTATTTTCAGACATACCATGTGATTTACAGTATGAAGGATTCGTGGGCAATTACAGTTACATCTTTCAGCCATCCCTGCACTCCCGTCGCAGCCAGGTGACCTCTGCTGAGTTCTGGTTTTACGCCGGGGTCCAGTTACCCCCAGGTGCTGACCCCCCGACTAAGCTGTACTTCCTCACTGAACCTGGCAGCTTTGCCCGGGCAGCGGAGAGCATGGCAGTTGAAGGACAGTGGGTAATCTTTCATATCTCCCAGTCCTTCCTCTCATATATCTCGCACAAGATACTTTTCCTTCAGGTCAAGTGTGCCAATTGCCAGTGTGTGAGGGACCAAGTGAATGTGCCCTTCATCCTGTCCACAGCGAAGAACTCGGGCCCTTCTCGATCGAGACGCTCGACAGTCCCTTGGTCCCCCGCCTATGTCAGTCTCCTTCAGAGGCCACCACCTCCCGAACTTATTCATGACGATTGCCATCGTTCTGCCGTTAACATCTCCTTTGAAGAATTGGGATGGGGCAACTGGATTGTTCAACCCAGTGTCTTCACCTTCTACTACTGCAATGGGACCTGCTCCAACTCCAACCGGCTGACCTCCAGCCTCGGCCTCAAGGTTTGCTGCACCTCAGTCCCAGGGACCATGAAGCCCCTGAGAGTGAGGACAACGTCTGACAGTGGCTACACTTTTAAATACGAGACTATCCCAAACATTATAACCGAAGAATGTGCCTGCATCTAGACTTTGCTTCCTCACCCTCAGCATGATGACAGAGTGGTCTTGGACTCTCAAGGAACTGAAGATTAATCAGAATCCAAAAGACAAATCCAAGGGATAGTAATGAAATAAATAAAGAAGCTGTATCAGTGCATTCATTGTTTATTAATTATGAAAATATTTGAGTTTTGGAAAGAAAGGAATATTTGATGGATAGTTGGGAAACATTTAATCAAATAACCAACAGTCCATTTGCTTTCCATTCTGAAACTAGACATCAGGCCATAAAATATAGCTACAGAAGTAGGTCATTCAGCCTATCTAGTCTGCTCTGCCAGTCAATTGGGCCAGGCTGATCAGATCATCCTCAACTCTACTTTACCGCCTTTACCCTATAACCTTAGATTTTCAAACGGTAATGGAATCTATCTATCTCAGCCTTGACTGTTCTCAATGACCCAGCCTCAAAAGCTCTCTGAGGTATAAAAAAGAATCCACAGATTCACTAGCTTCTAAGAGGAGAAATTCTTCTTCATCTCTGTCTTAAATAGGTGAATCCATACACTCAGATTTTGCCCTCTGGTCCTAGAACCTCCTACAAGGGGAAGCAACATCCCCATATCTACCCTGTCAAGTTCTCTAAGAATCTTGGGTGAGAGATAGTAGGAACTGCAGATGCTGGAGAATCTGAGACAACAAGGTGCAGAGCTGGATGAACACAGCAGGACAAGCAGCATCATTGGAGCAGAAAGGCTGACGTTTCGGGCCTAGACCCTTCATCAGAAATGGGGGAGGGGAAGGGGGTTCTGAAGTAAATAGGGAGAGAGGGGGAGGCGGAAAGAAGATGGATAGAGGAGAGGATAGGTGGAGAGGAAACAGACAGATCGAAGAGGCGGGGATGGAGCCAGTAAAGGTGAGTGTAGGTGGGGAGTTAGGGGGGGGATAGGTCAGCCCAGGGAGGACGGACAGGTCAAGGGGGCGGGTTATTGTGAACCGAGCGTAGGTGTTCTGCAAAGTGGTCCCCGAGCCTCCGCTTGGTTTCCCCGATGTGGAGGAGGGCACAACTGCACCTCCCAGTTGCGAACCATTTCAACTCCCCCTCCCATTCCTTAGACGACATGTCCATCCTGGGCCTCCTGCAGTGCCACAACGATGCCACCCGAAGGTTGCAGGAACAGCAACTCATATTCCGCTTGGGAACCCTGCAGCCCAACGGTATCAATGTGGATTTCACAAGCTTCAAAATCTCCCCACCCCCTACCGCATCCCAAAACCAGTCCAGCTTGCCCCCGCCTCCCTAACCTGTTCTTCCTCCCACCTATCCCCTCCTCCCACCTCAAGCTGCACCCCCATCTCCTACCTACTAACCTCATCCAGCCCCCTTGACCTGTCCGTCCTCCCTGGAATGACCTATCCCCTCCCTAACTCCCCACCTACACTCACCTTTACTGTCTCCATCCCCGCCTCTTTGACCTGTCTGTTTCCTCTCCACCTATCCTCTCCTCTATCCATCTTCTATCCGCCTCCCCCCTCTCCCTATTTATTTCAGAACCCCCTTCCCCTCCCCCATTTCTGAAGAAGGGTCTCGGCCCGAAACGTCAGCCTTTCTGCTCCTATGATGCTGCTTGGTCTGCTGTGTTCATCCAGCTCTGCACCTTGTTGTCTCTAAGAATCTTAGCTGTTTCAATAAGGACCCCTCTCATTCTTCTAAGATCCATTGAGTACAGACCAAACCTACTCAACCTGTCCTCATAAGACAGTCGATCCATAACTGCCTCCAATGCCTGTATTTTTTCCTCAGATGAAGGGCTCAAAACTGTTAACAGTATTCCAGCTACAGTCTGACTGGTGCCTTTTATAGCTTTAGCACAATCTCCCTACTTTTATAGAGTCATAGAGACGTACAGCATGCAAACAGACCCTTTGATCCAACTCGTCCATGCTGACCAGATATTCTACATTAAACTAGTCCCTTTTGCTAGTATTTGGTCCATATCCATCTAAACCCTTCCTATTCATATACTCGTCCAGATGCCTTTTAAATATTGTAATTGTACCAGCTTCCACCACCTCATCTGGCAGCTCGTTCTATCCATGCATCACCTTCTGCGTGAAAAAGTTGCCTCTCAGGTCCCTTTTAAATCTTTCCCCTCTCACTTTCAACCTATGTCCTTTAGTATTGAACTCCCCTACCCTGGAGAAAAGACTTTGGCTATTCACCCTATCAATGCCCCTCATGATTTTATAAACTTCTGTAAGGTCACCCCTCATCCTCCAACACACCAGGGAAAATATCTCCAGCCTATTCAGCCTCTCCCTATAGCTCAAACCCCTCCAACCCTGGCAACATCCTTGTAAATCTTTTCTGAACCCTTTCAAGTTTCACAATTGAATGTAATATTCCAAAAGTGGCCTAACTAATGTCCTGTACGGCTGCAAAATGACTTCCCAACTTCTATACTCAATACACTGACCAAAGGCAAGCATACCAAATGCCTTCTTCACTGCCCTGTCTACCTGCGATGCTGCTTTCAAAGAACTGTGAACCTTCACCCCAAGGTCTCTTTGTTCAGCAACACTCCCTAGGACCTTACCATCATGTGTATAAGACCTGCTCAGATTTGCCCTACCAAAACACAGTACCTCACATTTATTTAAATTAAACGCCATCTGCCACTCTTTGGCCCATCTCATCAAGGTGGGCCATACCTGTTTTATTCACATCCAAATCATTTATACAAATGACAACAAACAGTGGACCATCATTGGTCCTTGTGGCATACCACTGGTCACAAGCTTCTCGTCTGAAAAGCAACCCTCTACCGCCACCTTCTGTCTCCTACTTTCAAGCTGTCACACAAAACCTTGTTGACTATCCCTAATTAGTCCTTGCCTTTCCAAATACATGTAAATCCTGCCTATCAGAATTTCCTCCAACAACTTATCCATCACTGATGCAGATTCACCAGTCTTTCATTCCCTGGCTTTTCTTTACCACCTTTCTTAAATAATGTCATCATATTAGCCAACCTCCAGTCTTCCAGCACCTCCCCTGTGGCTATTGATAATGCAAATATTTCAGCAAGGGTCCCGGCAATCACTTCCCTGGCTTTCCACAAAGTTCTACGGTACACCTGATCAGGTCCCAAGGATTTATGCATTTTAAATGTCCAACACCCTCTGTAATATGGTCACTTTTCAAGATATCACTATTTGTTTCCCCAAGTTCTCTAGCTTCCATATCCTTCTCCGCAGTAAACACTGATGCAAAATACTCATTTAGTATCTCACCCATCCCATATGCTTCCACACATGGACAGCCTTGCTGATCTTTAAGTGGCTGTATTTTCTCCCTAGTTACTCTTTTGTCCTTCATGTATTTGTAGAATCATTTTGGATTCTCCCTAACCCTATCTGCCAAAGCAATCTTAAGTCTTCTTTTTGCCCTTCTAATTTCCCTCTTGACTATACTCCTACTTCCTTATATTCTTCTTGGGATTCGCTTGATCCCCGCTGTCTATACATGACATATGCTTCCTTCTTTTTCTTGACCAGCGCCTCAATTTCTCTAGTCATCCAGCATTCCCTACTTCTACCAGCCTTGCCCTTTCAACCTAACAGGAACAAACTGTCTCTGGACTCTTGTTATCTCATTTTTGAAGGTTTCCCACTTCCCACCCGTCCTTTTACCTGCAAATATTCACCTCCAATCAACTTTTGAAAGTTCTTCCCTGATACTGTCAAAATTGGCCTTCCTCCTTTAACTTTTAGATCAAGTCTATCCTTTTTCATAACTATTTTAAAACTAATAGAATTATGATCACTGCCCCCAAATTCATATCTTTGAAATAAAGGCCAATATTCCATTTGCCTTCCCTATGTCCTGCTGAACTGGGATGCTAGATTTTTGTGGTTAATCAATGAGGACTTCGAAAACCCTCCTTTCTGTAGAATTCTGCAGTCTTTCCCTATTTAAATCATGTTCAGCTCCTCTTCCTGCTACACAATTGAACAGGTTGGATGACCAATGGTGCAGGCATGCAGTAGAAACAAGTGAACAGTTGAAGGATAAAGTTCATGTGATAAAACCTGCTGGATTACCGGATCCTTACCAGAGTTGGCAGCCCTTAGTCTGAAGAAGTGAAAACCAGAAGACCATTCTATGTTGAAAGAATGTTGGACTCCTCCTAAAGCATTCAGAAGTTCTGAGTTGTTTAAATCTTTTAAGTACATTGCTAATGAACCCGATGTTTAAACTGGCAGATCTTTAAGTAGTCCAGATTCAAATAGTACCTTTCAATCATTAGGTAATTTTTCCAATCTCAGTCTTAGTACTATGATAATGAAGAACACTGGGTGGAAGGTTAGCACACATCAATATGCTGACTTAATCATCTTTACTCCGTTCTTTTCACCAGTCACTCTTCTGTGTTCCACAGTCTACCAGTATTGACAGAGAGAATTATAGATCCATTGACATGGAAGGCCATTTGACCCATTAAGTTCCTGTCATCATTAGTTCTTCAACTAGTCCTATTTTCTTGATTCTTGACAGTCCCTTTCATGTTCTTCTCTTCTTGTCACCATCACCTTTGTGGTAAAGTGTTGAGCTGCATTCAGTGAAAGTCTAAGCCACATTTTGCTTTTACAGTGAAATTTCCAGCTCAACAACAGTCCGTTCCACGCTACTGGTCCATGCTGGTGTCCTTGCTTCACACCTCATCATGTCGTCTTCATTTTGCCCTTTCGGTGTATTGTTCTATTCCTCGGGTTAACGTTAACTACCTCTTGTGACAGTGAATTCCATGTTCTCACCAGTTGCTAGTTCACTTCGCTTCTCCTGAATTTTGTATTGAATTTATCAGTGACTGTTTCATATTTACTCTCCACTAGCTCTGACCTGAGCTCACAAGCTGGAAGATTTCATTATCTATCTATCAAATCCCTTAAAGGCTGCTAGCAGGTATTCCAATTGTGAAGAAGAGTCACACTGGAATCAAAACATTAACTCCATTTCTCTCTCCACGCACACAAGTTTAGGGGGAAGCGATGGCCTAGTGGTATTATCGCTGGACTGTTAATCCAGAGACCCAGATAA